TATCATTTTATCAGTGACGTATCAGGAAGTGAAGCCATAAAGGACCCATTCACAATTGTGTAGCGCTTTCATGTAGACTGATATCGTAAACCTAGCTTAGTTACAACTACATGTACACATTATTGCACCTGTTATGTTTTTCTCATTCAAAACAGACAGTTAAGAAGGGAATTGAGGCTGCGTTTACACAGCAACAAAAATGATGCAATTGGTACAGTTTTGTGCCTGTTTTATGCTTCTGTTTACACAGAAAGGAATAAAAACGTGATAGAATCTTGATAGGACTCTATGGAAATGAAAATGGTGTTCAAAGTGTATCATTTTAAAACGATACATTTTGCATTGCTGTGTAAACGCAGCCTCAATACAAGATTTATGGTGCATTAATTACATGATACTCACATCATTTGCAGTGCTTAGATCAGCTCCATCATTTAATAGCAACTGTACAATGTCATAATGTCCTCTCCCTGCTGCTACAATAAGAGCATTATTTCCATACTATAATAACAAGATAATGATATCATAATAAACTTGCATTGCACCATAATTGGATAGTTGTGGGTAGCTTCAATCACTGCAGTGGTCTTCCTGGGTTAAAGTACATGTGGTACATGTACCTTTAATAACTAATTAATTCTTGCTGCATTAAAGCCTGCTTTCTCTATCAATAATATCTTGATAGTGATTGAACTGTTTGGTGAAAAAAAATTTTAAATTCTGTTACCTCCTCATTTCTCTACTGATAATATTAATGAAACTGAATACAAGGTTTGTTAATTGCATTTTAATGACCTGCCGGGACCCACGAGATGTACATGTATATACAAATATTATATACAATTATATCGGAACTAATAACAATTAAGATGCTTTACCAATCAGCCCCCAAATTTTACATAAAGTGGGTGTGACCAGCAAACAAAATGGCAGCTTTCTCATGGGAGCTTTTAAACAACAAGGTATAAAATAGAGAGGACCTCTATAAGTTTTAAAAAGAACCCAGCTATGCATGCAAGATAGTGAAACAATTAGCAATATTTTTAAACTAATAGTACTTCTAATTAAGGAAACAGTTAGTACATGAATTTCTAATTATAAGATACATGTAGCTATACATGTACATGTACGTATAACAATAATATTCTAATGATGATAAAATGAATATTAATAAAAATAACTTACATCATTTGAAGGATCAGCTCCTTTCTTCAGCAGTAATTCTACAACATCACAGTTTCCTTCTCTTACTGCTTCAATAAGAGCAGTATCTCCTTCCTATAATAACAAGATAATGATAGATTGGTTTCTAATGTTGCAATTGTTCCCCTAAAATGATAAATATGTGTAGTATGTGGTTCTTGCACATTGCAGTTTAGACAAAACAGCTATAAGGGTAGCCTTGTGTATACCTGGCCAGACACTGTTTCAGTATCACAGAGAATAGGGGTCTGACTATGTGAGAATAGTTACAGTAGTTAAAGGATAGAACATCATGCAAGACGTAACATTAATTTTTAGAATCATACATGAATGAACAAGAATTTGTAGCTACATGTACATGTACATGAGTGTACATAAGTGTATACAGTACATCATGTAAATGTAATGTACAGTAAGCAGTATGGAAGTAGTTCACAAAAGCTTTGTGAAACAGTTAATTAGCTTTTCATTTCTAAAATCTTGGTAGTATGTGTGAAATAAATTTATTTCAGTCAATAAGTGATACGGGAGAGTACTATACATAATATAAAAGGGTCGAGTAGCTTCTACCTTGTACTCATTCTCATGCATGAACATCTAGATACATGTACATGTACATTGTACCTGTACATTTCAAATTCTTTTGCTATGCTTCAAACATTTACATGTACACTACATGTACATGTACATGTACATCACCTACACTGTTGTGTACATAAATAAGTATAGATAGTGGTTTGTCATTAATATTCCTAGTTATTGGGGCGAGCCTGAGCTCGCCCCACATAAACGACACAAGTATGTTTGTCTGTTTGTCTGTTTGTACACGTACGTCACCCCTATTTATCTGCATGAAAAAATTTCCACTTTTTAATAAACTTGATAATCTTCATTGAAAACGGGTGTGGTCACAATGAAATAAAAATGGCGGCTATCCAAATGGGAAACTCTTCAGCTTGCAAGTCACTGAGGTCAGCAAGATAAGACTCTACTGCTATCCAAATGCAGCAAGGAAGGTTAAGAAAACAGGTATGCCATGTTTTTCATTGATGTGACTAACTCTGATCAAGTGAATGTCAGTAACTCAGTCTGTATATACCTGACTGCACTTGGAGCACTACAAATAGCAAGAAGCCAAAAAAACTACATTGGTAGAGTTGCCTATCTAGCTACATGTATATCATTTATGCAATGACTGCTTGTAGCTATCTTTAAGCTTGATAAGTGCTATAAGCAAGGTACTAACTTTCACTGCTCCAGAGATTACAAAAGGTAGATCATCAAGAACTGCATGATACATCAAGTTCTGAGCTGCTTAGTCCACAAACACAATCATGCATGAGTATTGTTAATCTGTCAAGATCTATTGTATATATGTACGATACATTGATTTGCTTGCTTA